GGCTGAAATTACTATTTTTTAAGTAGATTATAATATATCTCATAGGTAATACTATCAGGGAATCTGAGAAGACAGACTGTAAATTGGGTTTTTATAAAAGATGCCATGGTGGAGGTGGCCTTCTTCTAGGACCTTGAAGAATGAGAAGCAATATGTATAGAGTGCAGTATAAGAAGTTCTTGGGGGAATAAAAGGTAATCAAACGTGATTTGAGTATAGGATGTATGAAGGGAGTGGTGAGAAATAGATATAAATATCAGTTCTGGGCAGATTAGAAATCCTGAATGGTAGGCCTTAGAATTTGGATTTATTTTTGTAGGCAATGGGTAGCCACTGAAATTCTTGAGTAGGGAAATAGTGCATATTTTAGGAAAAATAGGGCAGCACTGTAGAATGGAGTGGACGATAGAAGGTAGAGAGACAAAGTAGAGTAACCCTCATGCAGCCTGGACCCTACAAATCTACAATGTGGTCAGTTCAGCCACTCATAAAAACTTGAAGTGGAACCAAACAAAAATATGATTCCCTATCACAGTTCAACCAAGTTTAGTTTTACTCTTATCTGAAAAGTATGTAGTACCATATCTTCTTTTAAGTGTTACATTTTCTCTTTTAGTAGATAAACTGAAAGAATCCTTTACATTTCTTTCTCCACTTCTTCAATGATCTATTGCAATAAATTTTGACTTCAGGTCTATTTTGGTAACTTTTTTACTTCTAAAATGCTAAATCCAGTGGTGAGACCTCTCTGTACATTTTTTTTATCTGTCCTTTCTTAAACCTTGTCTTATTCTGACTTCTTTGACATCACTCTCACCTAGTTTTTGCTTAAAATTTCTGACCATTCCTTCTCATCTGTCCTGCCATCATGACTTCTGCTCTCCCATTAAAACTGAGTTCTTAATTTTCCTTGTTTTTACTTACAGCTTTTCCTGAGGAATGTTATTGACTTTCTTACCCCCCATCCTCATTTTTTTTTTTTGAGATATAATTGACATATATCATAGTATTAGTTTTAGGTGTACAACTTGGTGATTTGATATATGTATACATTATGAAATGATCACAGTAAGTTTTATAAACATCTATCACCTCACATAGTTGTATTTTTTCTTGTAATGAAAACTTTTAAGATGACTCTTTTAGTTACTTTTAAATATATGATACAGTATTGTTGACTTCAGTCACCAGGCTGTATATTACACCCACAGAACATATTTATCTCATAACTGGAAGTTTGTAGCTTTTGACAACCTTCAACTGCCCAGCACATCTCCTCCTCTGGCAACTAACAATCTTTTCTCTGTATCTATGAGTTCAATTTTTCAAGATCCTTATATAAAGAAGATTACACAATATTTGTCTTTCTCTTTCTGACTCATTTAACAAAACATGATGCCCTCAAGGTCCATCCATAATGTCACAAATTACAGAATTTTCTTCCTTTCGATGACCGATACACATACCACATTTTCTTCATCTAGTCGTCTGTTGATGGACACTTCAGTTGTATCCATATCTTGACTATTGTAAATAATGCTGCAATAAATATGGGGGTGCAGGTAGCTTTTCAAGATAGTGATTTTCTTTCCTTTGGAGAAATACCAAGAATTGGAATTGCTGGATACATGCTAGGTCTATTTTTAATTTTTTGAGGGAACTCCATTATGTTTATGACCATTATTTGAACTATTTGACAGATAAATCACTTATCTCTGTTTTATTCAAATCTGTTTGTGAGGTTTTATCTTGTTCTTTTGTTTGGAACATCTTCTTTTCTCCTCCATTTTCGTTTTCTCCCTGTGCTGGTTTTCTGTGCCTCAGCTAGAGCATCCTCCTCTGTCAGTCTCAAAGAAGCTGTCTCATGCTGTAGATGAACTTCATTGTTAAGCCGGCCTTAGCTCTTATTTTTCTCCACCTTTGTGACTTTCTGAGAGGACTACTCCATTCTGAGTGGCTTCTTGTTCTTGAGGGTGTGCCAAGTCCTGTCAGTGTCCCAGAGGGAGGATCTCAGCACCTAGATGCAGGTTAATTGGAAGCTGGACCCTCAGGCAAAGTATGCAAATAGATCCCTTTTGGGGAAGGACTGGGAGATGGGTGGGGGCCTCTGTCCACTCTCCTTGCTCTGAGGCCTGGGGTAACAGCCAACCAAGGCCTTTTTCTTTGTTTGTCACAGTTCTGCTTAACCCATGAACACAAACCCCACTGTCCACCAGAGCCAGGCTTTCCAGGAATGTGTACTCTGGGCAGCAGCTTGTGTGCACAGGCTCCTTCCAGTGGGATATCTTCAACCCAGAGCAGAGCCAAGGGACAGCACAGTCTCTGGAGAATTGTAGTTGTGTTAAAACTTGTTTGTTAAACCTGGCCTCCTTCAGAAGTAGCCTGAGAATTGGGTGCCTCTGACTCTGGTTGTGTCTGTGCTGAGCCCTTGGGGAACAGCCAGTCAAGAACTGTTTCCTTGTTTGCTACAGTCCTGTAGGACCAAAAATGCAAGCCCCACTGGCCACCAGACCAGGCAGCCGAGGAGTTCATCCCCTACAAAAGCCGAGGTGCCAGCTGTGTGCACAGCTTCTTTCAGGGAGACACTGGTGATCTGAAGTGAGGCAGAGGGAGAGCATGAAGATGGTACCTGCTGGCCTCCCTGGTCTCTGGGGAGGGTTTCAGTTGGCCCCTAGATGTATTCCAGATTAGAAGCATGACTCCCATGCTATAGTTTTTAAGATGTCCAAATAGGCCTCTTGCAGGGGAAAACTAGCTGCTCCAGTTTCCTGCCTCTGTGCTGAGTCCTGGGGCATAGACACGAGTCCTCATGAGCCATGAACTGTTGACTATGGTTTTGTGGGTCTTGTGGACATCAGCCCCAGTTGGCTTTCCGAGTGAAGTGTTTTTGGGACCGGTCTTTCAGGTGGGAATTTTAAAAGTTGGGGCACTAGATATTGGGTTCAAACCCTTCACTCCTCAGGGAGAAACTGGGAGTTGTGAGTTCCATCCTGATTATATGTCGTCCTACTGGGGTTGGAGATGGTGAAGAGGTTGTATCTCTGCTTCTCCGACTTTTGTGATGTAGGCTTTTTTCTCATTCACCCCATATGTAGGATTTGCTCAAATGTTTCTGGATTTCTTTCTGAGAAGATGGTCCCATCTGCAGTTGTAGGTTTTGCGTGTCTGTGGAAGGGGGTGTGTCTGGAGCCTCCTATGTACCACCTATTGACTTTCAGTGGCTTCAATTACTACTTTAATGGGAACAACATTTGTTTCTATCATGAATAACAAAGCTGTACACACGTTAAAATGTGTTCATCATCTGCCATATTCTGGGCACTGTCTTAGGGTTTTGCACACATTATTTTAACAAACATCCAAAGAAGTTATTATTGGCCTCTTTTCATACAAAAAAATAGTGAGGCTGAAGAGTTTGATGTAATCTGTTTATATCTCATATAACTGTGAGAACTCATGCCTGGTATGTCTGACTCCAAAATCCTTGTGGTGGTTTCTCCTGTAACACACCAGTTTCCCCTTTCCATCCCAACCAAGTGACTATTGCCTGTCTCTGCTTGGATGCCCAGATACTTTAATGTTTAAAATGAAACTACCTTTTTCTGCTAAGTTTCGTATTTGATTCCCGGCTCAGACTACTTCTTGGATTCCTCACATCAAACTCTCTGGTAATCACCACTGAACTTTTACTCATGAAATGAAGAGATTGCTTCCATGTGTGTTCCCTATTGTACCTTTGGGGTTCACTGTTCAGGCACAGTTGTCAAAAGATGAGACACTAGGTGCCTTAGGTGAGAGAAGCAGACATAGGTAAGACATAACAATGCGTTGAAATCTAGAACATGTACTTCTCCAATCTGCACAGCAACTGGATGACAGAGGTAGTGTTCTCTACTCCATTTTGCAGATGAAGAATATGAAGCTCAGAGAATCTAATACGTAAGTATTAAGTAAGCTCTGAATATGTCAGCTGCATTTTGTCTACCAACTGTGAGCATATCACCAAACTACCATGGCCCTTCCACACATGCTCCTTGCACTCAAGCTGTTTGCAAGGCAGTGAGAAAGTTAAAAGATAAATGCATAGTTTCTTTTGAAATTCAATGTCCTTCTAAGGGGTACTTCTTGTGCCTCGCTTTTTTATTTGTGATACTATAAATCTACTAGTAGTCTAACTCCAGTTAGACTCCAGACATTTCTGACTTCTCTCTTGTGTGTCTAAAATTTTAATCTTTGAGTCCTTCTCACTTCTTCCTTCGTATTTCTTTACTTTCTACTCACCATCTTCCACTTAGATTATATCCTCTCTGTTTCCTTAGATGCAATTCTCCATCTCTTCCAATTGGTAATGTGCAACAAATAATACTAAACTTCTGTGTCTCCTAGTCATTTTCTTATTCAGAACCTCACAGTGTTTCTGTAGATTTTAATAACTGGTACAGCCCAATTTCTTTTCTTATCTCATAACATTTAAATATAAAATTTCCAGAACAATCCATTTTTTTTTGGAACCTACCTTGCTTGTCACTGTCCCAAATCCTTCATGATATGCAAATTCTACTTCCTTAAGGTACTACCTAACTCTGGCAGCTCCTATAGTTTACAGTGATTGCTCATGCCTCTGATATACTCTGACATTTATAGTGCAAGCTGCATATTGATAGCATGAAATTACATACTGTCTAGCATGGTTTTAAGAAGGCATTGACATAGAGTGGAATAGAAAAAGGAAATGTGTATTTGAAAGACAAACTAGAATATTCAGCTTTTCCCAAACTTTATTCCACTCCCACTGGATGATCCACTAACCTTTTCCAACTTTGGCATCACTTCCTGCAGTTTTATTATGTATTTTATCTGAGATAATAATCCAAGGCAAGATTCATCTTCTTTCAAGTGTAACTTGCTATGTATGTTACACAAATACTCTAATTTATTCAGTCTGTATATTTTTTATATTCACAATGTGAGCCCACTAGTCATTTTTCTTTTTTCAGTAGGCTACTGACAGACTGAAGCAAGGAAGAATCACCATAGAGGAATTTAGATCAATCTATCGAATTATTGCATACAGAGAAGAAATTATTGAGATTTTCCACACGTATTCTGAAAACCGGAAATTGATTGTTGAAAAAAATCTGGCCAACTTTTTGACACAAGAGCAGTATATGTGCAAGAACAATATGAGTGAAAGTATTGCTTCTGAGATCATTAAAAAATATGAGCCTATTGAAAAAGGTATGCTTAAGTATCCAAGTTTTACCAAATATTTACATTCAAAGTATTTTTTATGAACTACAGTTATCAAATTCAAATTTTTGGATGGGGTCAAATTTCTTTTGGATATCAAATATTGGTATTTTTATACTTTATAGAATTATATATCCTTTAGAAAGGTACATTGTATAACATGACATTTCTTTTCCATTTCATTGTCCAGCTCCTTTCTTTTAACTGCTTTTGTGTATCTGTCAAGTGTTCAGAGACAAGCTTAGTTAAAAAGCAAGATGAAGATTCTGTTACATGTATTGTAACAGAAGAAATTGTCTAAATATTCATTAATAAGATAAATGCCCAGTTACAGGCAGTCTTCAATTTTTATACACTTTATTATTGAAGATATATATGAATATTAAATTAACTAAATGAAAACAATTCTTGAAAAGAGGTAAGATATTACAAAATCACTTATTTCTCCAGTCTATATACACATAATCAACAATATTTTATATACATTTTAAAAATTTTGCCTTTTCTTCATTTTTGAATATAGTTATCTGATTAAATGATCAATTAAATGATCACTTAGGCAAGCAATTTTCAACCAATGTGCCACAAAAATTTTTAAACATGTAATACCTGACTGTTTCATCAGGGGTACTGACCTCTTTTCCTTTAGATTGTCAAATTAAAAAAATGACAACAGAAGCCAATACAGTAGTAGCCATCTGGTGTGAATGAATCCAAATTATACCTATTTTTCATCAGATCGGCAAGAAATATAATACGTTTTTTGGTGTACTGCAAAATTTGAATAATTAGTTTATGTGTGCCATGAGATGAAAAAGGTTGAAAATTGCTGACTTGGGCTTATGACCTGTTATATAATTTTTATCTTTGTTCCATCTGTTAGTAGATAAAAAAATTCAAAATTCTTTATTTATGCTAATTTTAAAAATAAAATAATGAAGACAATATAATAAAATATTTATATAATTGCCTAAGTAACAATTTAGTTAAACATGGTGTTTAATTCTACAGAAATTAATTGGTAGCTAAAACATTTATTTAACAGGAGAGGTATGGAAATTCAAATTCTGCCTTTAAAAGTTTGTTTATAGCTACCGATGTTTAACATATGATAATAGGGGTTTTAACCAAGCCAAACTTATTCCTTTATTGAGTCACACATTCATAATTTATTCAAATATGTATTTATGGAAACCAGGTATGTGTTTAGGGGATGGAAATACAATGGAAAACAAGGCAAACTAGATCTTATTATATTCCTGATGGGGGTGGGAGGAATATTGACAATAAAATTTAGACATATAAAAAGATAATGTCATAGACTTCTATGTACTGTGAAAAAAAGAAAACAGAGAAAGTCAGAGAGCGTAAACAATTCAGGAGGTCTAGTTTGTGCTGGGTGTTTAGGAGAGTCCTCTGTGAGGATGTGACATTTTAGCTGAGACCTAAATAATGAGAAATAACTACTCGTGTCACAAAATGGGGTAAGTGTCTGAGTTGAAGAAAGAAAAACAATGGACCTGAGTTGGAGAACTCAAGGAACAAGAAGACAGTGTGGTTGGAACTTGGAGAATGAGGGCAAGATGAGTTTAGAGAGATAGGCAGGGATAAAATCATGTCAGTCTTGTAGGCCATAATCAAGATTTTGGTTTCATGACTGAATCTTACCTAAAAACTTTGGAGGATTTTAAGCATAGTAGGACTAAATGCAGTACCAAGAGTTTGGTCAGATCACCATGAAAACTTTTGCAGGTTTGCAACAAGATAGAGAGTTTGCACCAGAATGTAAATCAACCGCATCACTAAGCACACCTGATAAATTCAGCTGACTTCTTTTTATAATAGCAAAGACTTTTTCTACAGAAGTAGTGAATTGATTTATGTTCTGGCTCAAGCTCTTTATGTCATTGATGACTGGAAACAGCCAATTCACTGATAAGCACTTTCAGTAGAACTGACTTAGTGAATATTCAAAAAGAAATACTTTGGCACTGTGACCTGCAGGTGGTAAAAGATACAATGCAATAATGGGATGGTGGAGTGACATCTTGGAATTGTGTTTGCATTTTAACTATAATATCACACTGTTCTGTTGATCCATTTCATCTTTTGAATCTTCCTCTGCCTCACACATGTTCATGCACAGCCAAGACTTCGCATTTCATATACATGTTTATTGATCACTTCAGGGAATTATTAAGTCCAATTTTAATTATGATTTTAGAGTCCTAAGTGCTCCTCAATGTCACCCCATATTAGTATGTGACACATAAGAAAAGAGAATTTTAAAAATCCATGAGATTAATTCTCATCTCAATCTAGTCATTTTTAAAGGCTAAAAATGAGTTTGTTTTCTATTCCATTACCAAAGAACTCACCTTAATTATTTAATAGTTCATTAGGGCTGTAATTCAATCACTGCTAAGTGCACTGGGAAAAAGAATGGATTTATGCAAATCATTATTATTACAATGTATGATGCATTTGCCCCACACGTTTCCATAAATTTGCATGGCTTTGACATAGAAAGCTTATATGCCTATAAATATTCTATGAATTTTTTTCTAGCATGCATGTATTTATTTATTTATTTATTTATTTATTTATTTATTTATTTATTTATTTATTTATTTTCCTCACCGGAGGATTTTCCCCCCCATTTATCTTCAGATAGAACAGAAGGAAGAGAGGAAGGAAGAGAGAGAAAGAAACATCGATGTGAAAGAGACACATCGACTGGCTGCCACCCACACAACCCCAATGGGGGCCGGGGACAAACTGCCACCGAGGTACATGCCCTTAGTGGGAACAGACCCCGGGAGTCTCTGGTCCACGGGCTAACGCTCTAACTGCTGAGCAAAACCGTCTAGGTTAGCTTTCATTTTTTAAAACCAAAATTGTAATAGTATTTTCGAATGCTGGGTTTTTCACTGTTATGATGTCATAAACATTTGCTTATGTCACTATATATTTTTTCTGATAAATTATTTTTAAATGTTGCTTAGTATTGTATCATATTTTAATTTAATTTGTTGGCTCTTCTTATTAAGCTTTTATACATAATGGCAGTGTGAGAATTCTTTATTTTATTGTTGAAAGTATTACAGATGTCTTCCCTTTTTCCCCATTGACTCCCTCCTTCCCACTCCCACTTTCCTCCTGCCTTCCCCAGCCTAGTGTCCATGTTGATTGGTTGTGCATATATGCATGTAAGTTCTCTGGTTTATCTTTTCCCTCCTCTCCCACCCCCATTCCTCTGAATTTGTCACTCTGTTCCCTAATTCCATGATTCTGGATCTCTTTTGGTCAACAGCTTATTTTGTTCATTATGTTCCACAAATAAGTGAGATTATGTGGTACTTGTCTTTCTCTGACTGGCTTATTTCCTTTAGCATAATACTCTCCAGGTCCCTCCATGTTGTCTCAAAGGGTGAGAGATCTCTCTTAACAGCTGCATAGTATTCCATTGTGTAAATGTACCACAGTTTTTTTTATCCACTCATCTACTTATGGGCACTTGGGCTGCTTCCAGATCTTAGCTACTGTAAATAGTGCTGCTATGAACATAGGGATACATATATTGGTGTTTCAGGCATCTTAGGATTTATTCCTAAAAGTGGGATCACTGGGTCAAATGGCAGTTTAATTTTAATTCTTTGAGAAAGCACCATATTGTTTTCCATAGTGGCTGCATCAGTCTGCATTCCCACTAGCAGTGTGCTAGAGTATCCTTTTCTCCACATCCTCGCCAGCATTTATTGTTTGAGGATTTGTTGATGGAGGCCATTCTGGCAGGTGTGAGGTGATATCCCATAGTCATTTTAATTTGCATCTCTCTGATGATTAGTGATGTTGAGCATTTGTTCACATGTCTCTTGGCCATTTATACGTCCTGTTTGGAGAGGTGTCTATTTAGATCCTCTGCACATGTTTTAATTGGATTCTTTGTCTTCCTTTTGTTGAGTTGTATGAGTACTCTACATATTTTGGAAATAAACCCCTTATCCAATATATCATTGGCAATTATGCTTTCCCATATAGTGGGTTCCCTTTCCATTTTGATGCTTGTTTCTTTTGCTGTGCAGAAGCTTTTTAGTTTGATATAGTCCCATTTATTTATTTATTTATTTTCTTTGTTTCTCTTGCCTTAGGCATTGTATAGTTGAAAATTCTGCTGTGTGTGATGTCTAAAATTTTATTGCCTACATTTTTGTCTAGGATTTTTATGGATTCACAAGTCACATTTAAGTCTTTTATGCATTTTTTTTTCTTATTTATTTTTTTATTTTATTTTATTTTATTTTCCACATCTTTATTGTTGGATGTAAAATGTATTACAGATGTTCCACATTTTTCCCCCATTGACCTCCTCCTCCCCACTCCCGCCCCCCTCCCACCTTTTCCCAAACTATTGTCCGTGTCCATTGGTTATGCATATAAGTTCTTTGGTTTATTTCTTCCCACCCCCCCAACCCCTTTCCCTTTGAGGTTTGTCAGTCTAGCAATGAATTTGTGCTTCTTAATCCCTTCACCTTTTTCATCCATTCCCCCAACCCCTTTCCCAACTGGCAACCAACAAAACGTTCTCTGTATCTATGAGAATGTTCCTGTTCTTCCTGTTCATTTTGTTTGTAGATTCCATTGTTGATAGATATGTATTCATTGCCATTTTGTTTGTTCATACATTTTATCTTTTTCTTTAAAAAGACCCTTCATCATTTCATATAATAACGGTTTGGTAGTGATGAACTCCTTTAACTTTTTCTTGTCTGGGAAAGTTTTTATATGTCCATCGATTCTAAATGACAGCTTTGCAGGATAGAGTAATTTTGGTTGTAGGTTCTTGGTTTTCATCACTCTGAATATTTCTTGCCACTCCCTTCTGGCCTGCAAAGTTTCTTTTGAGAAATCAGCTGACAGCCTAATGGGAACTCCCTTGTAGGTAACTAGCTGCCTTTCTCTTGCTGCTTTTAGGATTCTCTCTTTGT